GTGGGCCGGTTTAAAAGGCCACGGAGCGTGCCGTGAAGGCAGCGCCGCGCATCGCTGCGTGCCCGGGTCTGGCTCCCTCCCCTGCAGCTAGCCACGTGCTGGGGAGCTGTGGTGAATTGTTCTGCCTCGGAGCTATCTGTCAATAGCCTTTCTGTTCCTGAGATTAGTTACAGTGAAGGCATGGTAAAAGAAAATTTTTAAAAGCAGCAAAACAACCCAGGAAAATGCTTCCAGTGCTACAAATCTAGGTGCTTCAAAGAGATTTAAGAGTAATTCTTGCAGTAGTGGTGTCAGTGTGCGTGTGGGGCAGACTGAAATGTAACTTGACTCTATTAAAAGCTGTCGTCGAGTGTTTTGATTGTGTAAATCAGATGTTCAGCTATTGACTTAATTGGAGCTCCACTAATGTAAGTTGTTATAAATGACTGAGTCTCCAAACAGGATTGCAGTCAAAATTTAGAATTTATTATGTTAATTTAAGCAAGCAAAGAGCGCTGGGTGTGCGTGTTGGTAGAGCAGAGACTCCCCTGTTTGGGGACTCAGTCATTTATAACATAAATTAATTAAGGAATTGATCCCTTGATTTCTCCAAGATGGACAATATAGTTCTTTGGTTATTACTTTGCCGGTAGGTTTGATGCTTACATGTAAAATTAGGAACATCTCTATTGTAACACTTAAGAATTTTCACACTGTTAGGTTGGTTGGTTTTGTTCCTTTTATCTTAATAACAGTAGAAGATGAGAGGTCAGTCCCCAATTTGACCAGTTACTATATAGTAGAACACATGCCAGTTCATGTAACATTTCTCAATAATACACTGCTCTTTCTCTGTCTCTTTATCTAGGCCAGTACATCTATATAACCCCCAAATTAGATTTGACTGGTTCTTATGCATATCAAATTATTTTCAGGTTATTAGGAAGATTATGAATTTTGTTTTAAAAACTTGGAGCTATTTTTAGTGTTGTCACCTTTTCTCAAGCATTGAAACTTCACTGATTTTAGTTCAGTAGTTTGCACAGGACAAGGCAAATACTATACATTCATTGGTTTTCTTTCTGCAGACCTTTTACATGTAAATACAAATGTGTACGAAATTGATGGGACTGTGGAGTTTATGTTATTAGTTTTGTATGCCAATACCAATGTCACGGGCAATTCAAAAAGAAAAAAGATGATGGTCTTTTCCCATAATAGTTTTTTATTCTTGTATCTCTTCTTTCTAGGAGGTGTCCAGTGAATCAGATGTGGAAACTCATTTGCATGGGATGGTAACTGGCTTTTTTTCCTTTCTTCACCTCTGTTAGCTGTCCCTGATTTGGCTCCTTGTGCAGCCATGTGAATGCTTACACTGCTGCTGAGGGAGCCAGGAACAAGGACACCAGGGTGCCATCAATGGCAGCAGTGTTAGCTTAGCAAGACTGGTAGTTTCAGTAATTCCAGTGGCCTGCAGTGTGCAAATCCATGGAAGAGGAAAAATCTGTAGTACACAAAGATTGCAAGTAGAACTTTTGCAAAACGTAATGGTCAAAGCAAAAATGTGATGATCTGTGATACAGAGTTGTTCCAGAAGATGTTACAAGATGAAGCCTCTTGTCCATTTTCACAGTATAGGTAAATTAGGTAGGCTCCTCTGGATGTGTATAAAAGTATTTCTGGTGTCCATGCAGCATTTCACTGACTTGGGTTGCTAAGGTTCTTACTCATCATATGACACAGATAACTTAAACAGATCTCAGACAACAGCTGCAGGTTGTTTGACCACATTTTTGAATTGCAGTAAGTACAGCTGTTTTAAGCAGCAGAGCCAACTGTGCCCATTTGCAGCAGTGCCATGTACACTCTTCTTATTTAGAAAGCAGTAAAAAAGTTAAGAGTGGAAGTTGGAATTTCTAGTATTCTCCAAGAAGTTATTGTCTGTCAGCAGTACTAAGGACAAAAATCTGTGTATTATCTTCGTGATTTCTGACAAGCTTTTTCCCCCTCTTATTGGTGTTTTGCAGATAAGTGTTTGAACACAGCACATGTCTAAGCATGCAGTCTGCTAATATACTTCTGAAAAAAATTATAAGAGGTTCTGTCCTCCCACTTGCCGCGCAACATGGGATGAAAAAAGATTTGTTTCCACTCAGTAGAACTCTGAGTTTATCACTTTGTCTGAAGCAGGATAACTCATTCAAACCCTCGGAAAAACTAGATTTAGATGCATGGAAGAAGGTAATGAAGTCTGGGTTGCAAGAAGAGGCCAGTGAGGCGGTCCCTGAGCATAAGGAGCATTCCTCTTTTGCTGCTGCACGTGAACTTTTGGAGATGTGGAGACTAGCTGGCAGATTGGTTCCAGAAAACATCAGTGAAGAACAGCTAAAAACCTTTATGGAATGTCCTTCCAAGTCAGCCCAAAAGAAGTATTTGAAATTTTTGCATATTAAAGAATTGCACAAAAAAAACAATAGAAGAAAGGTGGATGAGAAAAGGGAAAGGAGGCTGGAAGTGCAAGAGCAGGCTTCAGAAACAGGTGAGACCAACAGGAGTCCATTCATGCGTTTGTGGTCCAGCACTATGGATAGAGCATACAATTGGAGGGCTGCGCAGTCCATGATCTTTGGCCAACCTCTAGTGTTTGACATGTCCTATGAAAAAGACATGTCTGTCCGAGAACTTGCAAATGCAGTGAGACAGATAGTACTGAGTGAAGGCAGCAATCGGAGATCTGCGGATCCGTTCCACATCCACTTCTGTAACTTGAAGGACGACAGCCTCTATCAGAAGGAATTCATTAAGCATTACAGAGAGGCATGGGGCAAACTGCTTATCACTGTAACAGACCAGTGCTACACAGAAGTCTTTCCAAAGGATAAGCTCATCTATCTGACAGCTGATTCTCCTAAGGTAATGAAAACATTTGAGCATGATAAGGTCTATATTGTTGGGTCAATGGTTGACAAGAGCATAAAAACAGGAGTCTCCTTAGCACACGCAAAGCGACTGGGATTGGAGACTGCAGCACTTCCACTGGAGAAGTACTTGCTTTGGAACTCTGGTGCCAAAAACCTCACACTGGATCAAATGATGCATATTTTATTAACCTTGAAAGATACTGCCGACTGGAAGAAGGCTCTGGAATTTGTTCCAAAAAGGAAGTATTGTGGCTTTGTAAACAAACCTGTGAATGAACTGAAAAAGACCTTAGACCTGATCAACACACTTAAACTTGGGAAGAGACAGGGAGAATTACGAAAGCAATTTGCCAAGAGCTACTCTAAGAAGTATAAACTGAAGCAAAATTAGTGTGATGGGGAAGAGAAGGAATTTTTTACAGGCAAACTGTGCTCTTGAAAGCTCCAGTTTCTCAGGACATCTGAAACTTCAGCTGTTATCTCAAAACATGTCATTGTTGTTTGACATAACTGTTGTTATGGTGTTTTTTTTCACTTAGATTAGTTGCCCAGCTGTTTAAATTTATTCACACATTATTAAAATTATGTAAGAGAAATGAGATAATATGTTCTAAAAAAACTACTCTGTACGAAGAATATTCTGTTCAGCTGAACTATGCTCAGACAGGGGTGATTATAACTGAATGCAAAGCTTGTTCTTCCGAGAACATCTCATTGCTTTGGGTTTGCAGTGGGTGGAGACCGGCTCTGGTTTTATTCTAAAAGATTAGTGAAGATGAAGTGGAAGAGCTCTCTTACATTACTTCTTGAATCCTTTTTTGATGTGCAGGTGAATTGACTTTTGATAGCTGAACTAAAAGCAAGTGGTTAAAACCTTGAGTGAGTGTGGAGAGCTGCAGAGTTTATTTCTGGGTGTTCTAGCTGGCACAAATCAAATCCGTCTTTGGAAGGAATAATTCAAATTTGTTTATCCTGCAAAAAAACCCATAACTTTATATACATTTGTATAAGATTTTATCCCTGAGTGCCTGTGTTTTCAGGCCATGTGATGTAGATTTCCCAAAATGCTGGAACTTTTGAGATGATGAACAGTGCTATTAGTAAGTACTTTGGGAGGAGGGAGCCTTTTAATATTTCTCCCAGATGAAAATACATAGTTTGGTGTCTCTGTGAAAGGCTGTGTTCAGGCAGCAGAGCTACGAAGGGTATATTGTTAAATACAGTTTTCCCTGTATTTACAGGGTTGTATTTACAGTTCATCTTGCTGTCTGTAGGACAAGGAGGGCCTTCCTTCTGAGTGCTTAAATTTTTCATTTAGTCTAGTTGACGACCCTGATATTCAGAGTCAGTGATGGCAGAGGGTGGGCTTGGTCCTGAACATTTAAAAAATTAGGGAAGTATAATTCCAAAATTAGGAGAGTAGAATTTTGAAGAGTAGACTTCAAATATACCAGGGGTTGGTGGTGGTCCACTCCCTGTTTCATCTCTTACTCATCCCATTGCGAGGGGGGTTGGAAGGCAGAAAATTAACTACCCCAATACTGCCCTCCAGTGCCTGTGTGCCACAGGGGCCTTTGAGCATGGATCACCCCTGGTTTGGAGAAGGATCTGGTTCCTTTCAGCTGTGGGTAGTACACAAAGCTCCGTAGGCATTTCAGGTGCTGCTCTCGAGCCCTGTAGTGCGAGAACTGGCTGTACGAGTCTGTGTGCTGCACTGGGACAGCCTTTTTCCTCACGGGAGGAAGAGGCAACGTGGGGCATTTCACTGCTTAGTATCAGAATGACTTGGGTTGGAAGGCACCTCAGCGTTCTACTCCCTGCCGTGGTGACTGTTCCACTCCGTTCCTCCACACCAACAACCACTCCGGGATCCGCGCACTGGTTCGCAGGCGTGTGGGACCTGGAAATGGCGTCACTTGAGCACGT